AAACATTTACAAATGTGCCGTACATTGATTGCGGTCTACATACCTAACGCAAAAACGACTATTTGTGAATTTGCATGTTGAAATGTTTACTTGGTAAACGACGAGTGAGTCATTAAATGCTTCAGTTTTAGTGGATGTTTGTGGCATTGCAGCATTATATTTTAGAGCATAGCTACAAATGTATGTACTACATACTACAATTTGACAGTTTAGTACTTTTAAACCAAGTAAATTAAGCGCTCTTTTATTGTTGAGTATACTTTAAAGTAGGTCTGTTATATAGTAAGTATTTAGGTAAGGTTTTATCCCTGTTCCAAACATTTTCGATAATATGTTAAGATAACTGTTTTTAAGAAATTGTTGTGAGTATCAATTTTGAATAAATAAGCGTCCTTCAATTTCGATGAGGACTTTCTAGATTTCATTTATGATGGTGTTTTGAACAATCCTACCAATTTTCAGCTGGCTGGGAATTTTTGTAACTTCACTCCTATTTTTGGTATAATTTGACCGGACTATATAGGTCATCAAATTTATTTGGGTTTTAATAATACATATATATATATATATATTTAATAAGAATATGAACTGCGAGACAAAGAGAACGCTTTTATTTCCCATTTAGCAAGATGTGATTGAAATTTTAGCAAAATAAATCGAAAAATATTAAAAAGCAAGGCGAAATCTTAACCACCAGCAACGTGCACTTTATGATCCTAAAATTTTGTGCTCTGTAAACTGCATACCCAAAATTTTTCCAGAAACTCAAAAAAAAAAATTATTTTCGTAAAAATTTTTTCCAAAAATTACGACCCTCTAATTGTTTTCAACTAGTTTTTATTATGTACCTTTTATTAGTTGCAACAGCTGAATCGATTTTGTCAAACATTGGAACTTTTTCAGCACTTTACACCAAAAAATTTAACACAAACATTTAAAAATTCAAACATCGGGCTCAATTGATCTCTTCTTAATTTTATAAGCTTTCATTAAGAAAAAAAATATATATATTTACATATTTATATATATATATCGACATAGTTTAAAAATGAAGGCTACAGTGAATTACAAACAGTAAATTGCAGTTTTGAACCACTGTGCAGAGTCCTTTGTAGTTTACATTACATATATGACAACGTATACATCGTGATCATTTTGAGTGGACCTACATAAATTTAAATGGAAATAAAGGTGATGAAGCACGATTTTTTAAATTTTGATTTATGCTTATTTATTTATAACTACTAACAAACAAACAAACTAACCTAACTTAAAGAAACTGCTCGTAAATTTTTTGTTTAGGACTTTTCATAAGAATGTTGATAATATTCAATAAAACTCAATCCGAAACAATATCTACGCTAAATAATGTTACACCCTGACAAAAGAAAATTTGATTAACCTCAATCTATTATATGTAACTAAAAATGGAAAACTTTTAACAAACGACAATTAAAATATAACCAAAGAAGACAAGGCATACTGTTACGTATCAACAATATATGGAACTGTAGAACTTGCCACAAAAGAAAAGTGTCGTGCAAGTTCAACAAACATATGCAAATATATCTATTCACGATAAGTGGCAGTGTTATCTGTGCGATCATCAAGTGATAACAGTACATTTTTGAGGAAGTGCAGGAAGTTTGCTGCACAATCGACGCGGATGACAAGGTGAGACACATAAACACGAACACTAATATTTATTCAGGGGTATTTTTTTTGTTTTAATTTCGGGACAATAGTACGTACCTGCCGTAAAATTTTATTGTTGCAATAAGAACGTCTACAGTTATGAGTAAATTTATTGTTGTTTCAAGAAGTCTTTTTTAGTTGCCGTGTAAATATGTATGTAAGTATATATATGTACATAAGTACATTGATTTTATACACTGTGTGTGTGTGCAATCATTAGTATTGCCTTCTTTCTTTCTCTCACTCTCTCCCTCTCTTTCTGATTAAATTGCACTTTGTGTCATCTCTAGCACTATTTAGTTTGCATTTTAGCATTTGCATGCATGCATTTTGCATATATATACATATGTATTAATATTAGGGCCCCTTGGCGTTTGTCGCGCACCAGAAGCAGTGCAACTAACACTAGATATAAGTTTGTTCGCAGGAGTTATGCCGCACATGTTGAATGCCATGCAGCGAACATGTCGAATAGCAACGACGTGTTGCAAATCTCTGCAAAAACAATAATTAATTGTCGATTTTTCATATTTTCTTACTCTATTTTCGCATGTATAGTACATATTTACGTAAATGTTATTTGTTAGCAGTTCGGTTTTGTGTGATCCGTGGCTGGGTGTTGTTAAGGTTGGGTGCATTGTTTTTGGATTGATAATTTGTATTCGTTTTAATATAATAGTACTGTGTATGTATATGCGGGTGGTGAACGTGGGCTTCTTTTAGAGGGTTAAGTGTTTAAGGTTGCAAGTGGTTATGGATGTTGTTGATTAGCTTAAACTTTTTTGTCGAAAAGTTTTAAATAGTTTCTTACTATTGCAGTGTGGTTATTTGGGAATGGGTTTTTGGTAGAGTTGGTAAACTGTTTTATTTAAAAAGGTGCACTCTCTTATTTTTTATGATGTAGCTGGATTTGGAAAGTGGTTTTGAGTAGAATGAACAAAAGTGTTTTTGGCTTCAACAAAAGCTAACCGAGAACGTCTACTTCAATATTTATGCTTGGTAAAAGTCTTTTCTTATAGGGTGTTACATTTCTCGTTGTAAATCACCTACAGCGAACACCCACATATAAAGTGCATAGGAGGATATGTATTTTTGTGCAAATATCAAATATCTTCTCGCTGATTTTATTGAATGAATAAATCGCTAGACATATACCACGATCGTCATTACGCTCTCTATACTCCATGACTGCAATGGTTTTTGCATTCGGGGATGTAGCTATTGCTTACAACCAAGAGGGGCTATGTATGAATTCAATGGCAGCCATGACTATGATCTGGCGACTACTATTTTCTGGCCAAAAGGCCGGGAGTAATCAAATTGACTGGGAACTTGGTGTTTGGGGGCTTTTGTGGTCGTTGATTTCGAATCCAATATGGAGATCAAATTTTATAATTTTTTCCTTTTCAACACAAACTCATATACATAAATAAATGCGATGTTTTCGAGGTCGCTGACTTCGACTCTGATGTCAGATTTTTGATAATCAAAATTGCCGATCCAATATGGCGACTAAATTTTATGATTTTCTCCTTTTAATAAACTTTAATATAAGGGGGTTTTCAAGGTGGCGATGTCCGCTGAATGCCTTTTTTCGAAAGCTGGTGCTACATACAGCCACCGAGAAATGCAACCACTTAACCACTTTGTTTTTTGGCGAACTTGGTTAAGCCGCTTTATTTTATTTAAGGCTATATAACAAGATAATTAGAACTTTTTTATGGAAAAATGTTTTTGTGAATACTCACTGTAAAATAGTGCCTTTAAAAATTCGATTAATCGATTATTTCTCTTTTTTTTTGGCTTGTGATTAATCATATGATTATTTAATCGATTATTTTACTTTTTTTTTGCCATTCCTATTTACTACTGAAATATGTATATGTTTTGAATTCTTTGTGAATTTTGGGGTATGCACTTTTAAGATATTGGTAATTGCGAGATTTTTACCAAATTTTCATGGGCAATTTAACAAAGAATGTCTGGCAACACTGATTCCATCTAAGGATATCTAAAATGTTCTAGTTGGCGAAATTAAGACGTTAAAATTGTATACAAATATGTTTCTTATATTTCTCAAATTACTGAAATAATTAACCACGAAACCGACAAATGGTTTATTATCTCTGAATAAGTAAAATTATTGTATTATATTTTGCAAAAAAAATGTGCGGTTAGACGGAGTAAATTTTTCTCGACAATTATTTTAAATAACTTGATCTGTTTCACTAGGAGTTCGGTTACCTTTTGTTGATTAAAGAATGCTGTTGTGCTGGTGAATATAAACCATTTTCAAATTATCATTTGAGACTTTCGAAAGTAGATATACAAATTTTCATTTTATCAGCCTTCCGGCTGCTGTAGATGCGCAAAGCTAGTGAAAAAAAAATGCAATTTGTTGTTCTTTTTTTTGAGGTACGTATAACTTTGAAATGAATTATAAACTCTTCAACTGTTGTAGCAATTAAAAAGTTTAAATTTTATCTCATATTCCAAATACCAGCTTAAATGGCGTGGTTAGCATCAAATTGCAGGAAATGTAAAAACCAAAATTTATAAACGGAAACTTTGAATTCTAGAGAAATGATGCGTGCGGGTCGGCTGCGGTTTGGATTGTGCTAAGCTCTTTTTGTTATTTATTTATTTAAGTGGTGTTTATTGTTATTGTTGTAGTTAGTGTGCTTCCTTTTCGCTCTTCTTTTATTTGTTACTGAACGCGGACGCCGTTAGCGCGGAAGTGATTGAGAGTATCAAGTCACCATAAATATTTTTTTTTTTGTTGTGTAGAGGCAGGGTGCGGTGTAATCGCAGTTTGATTCTCGTGGATTTTGTGGGCTCTATAAAAATAAACTTGATTGTGCTGTAAATCATTTGTGCTTGGGTGGATATGTGTTGTTATCAAATAATATTGTTGTTGGCGATCTCTTCTCTATCGGTTGTGTGATTTAATTAGTTTAATTTTTTGTTTGCCATCAATTTGATTTTTATGTTTTTGTTTGATTTGGTGGTATTTATTTGCTCTACTTTTTGACTGCATGTCTTTATTTGTTCTTGTTTGATTGACATAAAAGGGAAATAAAAGAAACTTAAACATAAAATAAATTTAACTGGCTTTAAGAGTAAATAACCGCTAGCAGAAAAAAAAAAAAAAAAAAAACGAAAGCCCATATGTATACGTAACAAAACGCTTAAATATTTAGGTAAAAAAAGCTAAAAAAAAATTATTGAAATTTTCAATAAATTCGCATTAAAAGGCATCGTACCTGCCACACTGGCAACTTAATTATGGCACACCACAAACTTACCTGTGATTTAGAACGCATCGTCGGTTGGTATTTGCGGCGTATTTTGCGTGGGCAACAAACGCATAGCAGACGCACAAAAGCTCTGAAAGGAAACAACAGCAAAATTTATGAAAATTTTAAATAAGCGCATTGAAATGTAAAAAAAAATCTTAAATTCGCATATCAGCATAATTTGTAAGCAATTGGGGTACGAAGGAAATCTGCTCAGCACATTTTACATAAACCCGCAAAAGTGGGCTGTGCTTTGATTTTATTTTAATTTTTCGTATTTGCAGTGAAAATAGAACACAAAAGTTCTGGTAAACATGCCATTTATAGGCAAGACATTGGTAAACATGTTCTACAAACATACATACATATGTACATACAGAAGTGTGTTGCGAGGTAAAGAGCGATACTAACCCTTGGTGGGATACTCGACGGCAACCCTTAGCATTTTAAGGGCATTTATGCATGCACATTAGGATGCTGCACGAAAAAAGTGCCTACCTTCCAATATATATCAGTGTTCAGCTATCTCTTTGTGCCTGGATATTTACAGCTGCGGCAGGACCTGTTTAAAAGTATAGCCAACCTTTTGGCCAGTGCCATACGGAGACCGCTGTGAGTTTGTATGGATTTGCCCTATTCATTCCTAATAGCGCCTTGGTTTTAAATGGGCCCTGTACAACTTTACTTTTGCTTAGCTTTGAAATGGTAAACTTCGCTGAATGTGCTTTTGATTTGCCTTAGCTAGGCGCCCACGCCCGCCACGTTACATGTATCCCCATGACCTAGAAGCTGTCTATAGATATTATAAAATAAAAGCGTAGAGTTGCCACATATATGTATAAAAAGTAAAATGAATAAAATGCGTAAGTTATGTTAAATGTCACAATATAAATATTCAGAGAAGTATATTTAAGAATACATATTTTCAAATAGGGTTGCCGCTCATCTAAAAATGCAATATCAACTATCTTATTTTTTTATAAATATGAAAAAACTGTATGTGTGCCCGCTTATAACTTTTTTGGTTCTTCCCTCGGACTGGCAATCAGCTTGGTCTTATTCCGAATGGACGGTGTTGCCACCTAATTTATAAATTAAGTACCAAACTAATTAACAGTAGATGGATGACAAATTAAAGGTGTTTCAAATCTTTTCGAGTGAAGTGGTCACTTAATTTTTTCTTTGGGAAAAAAGTAATTACGTAAATTTTATTTATAAAAAGGACGTGTGTCTTTGTTTATAGACTTGCAAACTAATTTGCCAATTGAGTTCAAATCCATTGGATATAAATGTACCGGTGCCTATTCTGCAGAGGGTAAAAAATTCTGGTGGGTGGTGCTGGAGGTAAGATATCTTTAAAATTGTATTTACAGACCGATTTCATTCAAACTCAGAGCAGGTTACTTAAATTCACTAGGAGTTGTCAAACTCTCGAACACTCTCTTTAATCTCTACGCAATGCTAAGTATTAGGAACTCTGCGAGCGGCAAAAGAAAACTAAATAATCTATTTGAAAATATTAATTTAATCCTAGAAAATTTATAGGAGAGGGCTTACTCTTGAATAGCGATTTCTTACGCATGGACTACTATATTTTTCATGTTCACGGATTTATCAACGGAACCACAAATTTTTTTGCGCACCAGATAGGCTAGGAGAGTATATCGTATATTCATAAGCATTGCAATAAGCTTCTGATATTAAGATACGTTTCATATGTGTATTTAGCTAGAGTTAGATCTTGAATGTTGCAGGGTGTAGCGAAGAGCGTCGAGTATAATTTCTAATTAATGAGAATTTATGGCCAATTCTCTCCCACGATCCCCCACAGGTTGTGCCCTAATCAAGGAAGAGGAGAGCGCCTGCATTGGTGCCTGACCACCAGAGAAAATACTTCCTGAAAGCGATTGCGTGGTCCGGTAGGCGAAAGGAGAGCTTCAGATTAAGTAGTTAAATGAAAATCCCTGCACCTACCCGGAAACCATTTTTGATCCGTCAATAAAGACAGACATGCACTCCGTGAACCGGATATCTCCTCGAATACAGTCACTGCGGCTTGGAAATTGCGTGCGGAGCTTGTGATTGGTCGAGTCCTTTGGGAGGTTGTAATCGTTAGGAAGCGCTTTCATTTTAAATGGGACCATATTTAGGATGGCTAGAAAGGCCTTCCTTTCCAATAACTTATAGCAGTTTCAATAAAAAATATCTATAGGATCGATAGTAAATTGGGTAGAACGTTCAAAACCTTAATCAGGTAGAATTTCATTGAAGCCGTTGCGCCAATAGAGGCTGAACTCTGGATTCATTTAAGTGTTTTAACAACGCAGTTGGCATAGTTATTTCTTTTTTCTTACATATTTAAAGTGGATTGGCTATTGTAGAAGTGCGAGTTAAGAAAGGCCAATGTGGAAGGTTGCTATGATTCGTGGTCGCGATGCAGGCGCATATCTGGGAGTTGGATGGACTTGCCTCCTCTATTCTGGAGAACTAGACAATCAACTCATTTAAGCCCTTTAAGTCTCCGCCACTGGATGAGATGCATAGGCAGCGGATATATCTTCGAGGAAGGAAAATGTCCAATAAAACCGAGCTAGTCCTGTTCGTTAGGAGATATAAAGTGCCTTATGCACAATTGGTGGATTCTGAGGAAGCTAAATGTTGAAAAAGCCAGACATCAAGTTAATTATTCATATTTTATGGGGTCATCTTCTGATATAAATCGCCGAAAAATCATACAGGATATTATATAAAACATTTAAAAACTGTATGGATGCCTCTATGGCTTCAGTCACTTGCTATTTATTTACCGCCTATCAACAAGCATGCCACTTTAAGATTGCACAACCTCCAGATATATTCGCTGTTGTTTTTCGTTGTAGTCATTTTGAAGCAAATTTGTGCCTTGTAAAAATTCATTTACATACTTATTCATGCAAACCTGCTTATACAAAGTTTCCTATTTGCTGTTTTTGCTTGGCACTCAAGTATTAAAGGACAATGAGATTTCCTTTTCACTTTTTATCTGGCGTTTAGTCGCAAAATATCGCCTAAAACGGTTTATGTAGATGTCCTTCCTTTCCACTTATTTACAAGTACTCATACCTACATTGCCTACAACATAAATTATTAAGTGTTTGCTTTATTTTCCATTAATAAGCAAATTTGGCGTCGAGGTAAAATAAGGGAGAAACAAAAAAAAAATAAAATAAAAAATTTGCTGTCAGATTTTGATGTAGTGCAGTGGGGTGGTGGCTGTAGAGCGAACATATTTTCCCAAGGGCACAATAAAGCTATTGCTCAAGAAAATTATGTATATAGTAAGTATTCGATAAGATTTTTTTTTGCTTAATGGTGTCAGGCTGCAAGATACCCTGTTGGGAAATTTACTTCCTTAAAGGTGATGCGCTTGTTTTAGCATTGTAATAGTTAGTCGAGTGCAGTGTAAATTTAAATAAAAAAAGTAGTAGAAGTCTCTAAAAATTAAATGAAATTAAGAATTTTATAATTTCCTTTTTAGAACAATAAAATCCTAAAATTGTGTGTAAATAAATTTACAGAAATGTAAATAAAAAATCGCATAAATTGAGTTTCTAATAAATAAATTATATGTACAAACTAAATGAAAATTAAATAAAAATTGTTAATTAAAAAAATGAAGAAGTAAATAAAATATGTTTTTAAAAATTCAAATAAAGCAAAAATATATATTTAATTTTCAAAAGATAAAATCTAAAATTTAAGAGATAATTAAATAAAAATATAAAATTTATTTAATAAATAAAAAAACATTTGCAGGATGAGGATTCGAGCTTTGGATCTCTCGATTGCCACGCCAAAAGAGTTTGTCACCAATAAAGTTGCAAATAGAGCTTTCGCAAGAATTTCGAAATCTTTCAAATTATCTGGCATACTGTCGTTCAATTGTCTTGCAAAAGACCTGCAACTATCTTAGTGAGAATTGTCTTGCATTTTTGACTCAGGGGCGTATGGCGAACTTTCTTTTTGGTGGCGGTCCTGGTTTAAAATCGATTTTTCACTTTGACATTTTTGTTTTTGTATGAGGAACGAAGTGCCTACCAAAGGTGCAACTCGAACGTTTTCGTTAGGTGCGCCATTCCCTGCAGGCTTCTTTCATATTACATATGTACGTAAATAAAAATCTGTACAGGCGTATAAAATACACATACTATATATAAACAACAAAGTATTAAGACGGATTTGGGCTACAAGCGAATTTCGTGGTAAATCTGTGTAATCATTTTATCATCATCATTCGCAGCAACAATGATTTGGCGCTAAAATTTGGCTTCTACCAGCATTAGAACGACTACATGTTTACTGTGTATGCTTTTATGTATGTATGTATGTATGTTTGTACGTACATAGTATATGTTTTGATGTTTTAGAAATGAAATTGTAAAAATGAGATGGTGTGAAACAGGTATTGTACGCAAAATTTTATAGTTTGTGGTCAAAACGTCCAACTAGATTTAAAGTCCTTTGAAATTTTTATCATTCAATCTTCTTGAAAAAAAAACTAAATACTTTGATTTACTACGATTGCCTACTATTCTTGTTACTAGTGTTCGCCTAGCGGTTGAAATTCAGCACCTAAAACTAAAGCTAGTTGAGTTGAGTTGAGTTGAGTTGAGTTGAGTTGAGTTGAGTTGAGTTGAGTTGAGTTGAGTTGAGTTGAGTAGAAATGCGTTTAATTAAGGTGAACTGAGTTGAGGTGAGGTGAGTTTAGATAAGTTAAGGAGGATTAGGACGATTCATACTATATAGATATTAACAAGCTTAGCTCAAAAAAATTTTCAATCGATCTGAAGTATGAGGATTTTTTTTGGTCATAAGCTCTTGGTCTTTTGTATAAGTATAAATTTTTAATAGATTTTTCCACTTTGTTTTAAACTACTGTGAAATTGTAGCACTCCACCTTCAAAATACCTTTCTAAGGATATATAATGTTTACCTAAGAAATATAGCTGAAAATGGGTGTAAGGTTGTATATGATATACTCGTAGAAAACATGTCAACTGTTCCATATGCGCGAGTATTTTCGCACGTAGTCGTTACCTCAGTCTTACTTCATAAGCAAATTGTAGCTGCAAGTATTCACGCGACATACTACGGCTCTTGTGTTACTATGGAAAAGTTAAGGCTTTGAAATATTTTTCGAATCTCCAAACCCGTAAACCAAAGAAATTGAGCTTTGTATATTTTTTGGGTAGCAACATAACTGATATGAATATGAACGTTTGTGTAGTAAATAAATCTTTTCTAAAGACACATAAACTACAACTCTCAAAATTAGAAACTTATTTTCTTAAACTCACAAGGAAACACAACTGTATACTATAAAGTTTATAGCCACTAAATGCCAACGGCACTGCGCCAGAAGATATGATGGGGCTTGGAAAATTTCTAAAAAAATTAATCATGAATTTTGTAATTTAGAGGACACCTATTTTTAACGTTTTTTTCTTTTTGCTCAAAACTGAATTATAAGAGGGCTAGTCGCAGATCATGATCAAAAACGTAATATTGGTATTTTGATCTTTGGGAATATTATTACTTACCTCCTGAAATCCCTGCTCCAACAGGCATATATCACCGGATTCATGCAGGAGTTTATCCATCCCAGCCAGGTCACTATCGCCGACACTATTTCCTCGTGCTCGATGCATTCCACGCAGAAACCGGAAAGAAGATTTACAACAAAGAACGGCAGCCAGCACACGATGAATACACCCATTACTATACCCAGTGTCTTGGCTGCCTTCTTCTCTTTGGCGAATTTCGCCAACTTTCGTGACAACGAGAAATTCTTTCCCATATGTCTATGCCGTGCTAAGCCATTATTGTGCAGCGCCGATAGTGGCTCGTCGTCGGGCTCTTCGGGTGTCGAAGTCGTCGTGCCGGACGTACTGTGATTGTGATGTGCCGAGTGAAGATGCGAATGGTGTCGATGGTGTTGTGCGCCTTCGCCACTGGGCGCGCCACCCAGCGAACCGTGAATTGTCGGATGATGCGATGCACTGGTCGAAGGTTCACGCGTCGTGCCACCACGATGGATGCGCAATGTCAATTGCAGTTCACCGGACGCCATTAGCACTTGTTTGGTGCCGATTTTTAGTGAACGCGTTTGAATCACCGCCGCACGATAAATGCGACAATATGTGAAAACCATGACTAGCAGTGGTAGGTAAAATGAGATTGTTGACGAGAATACCAAATAGCCGAGGTGCTCCGTAAAGGTGCATTTGTAGGCGGGCATCTCGCCATCCCGCGCCGCACGCCACCACACAATCGCTGGAAAGCTAATGGCGCTCGAACATACCCACACAGCGCAAATGAGCGCAGCGGCCCGTTTCACTGTCATGCGCATCGGATACGAGAAGGGGTCGGTGATGGCCCAATAACGATCCAATGATATCACACATAAATTCAGTATGGAGGCGGTGCTGAAGAGTACGTCCAGCGAACGCCAAATGTCACACCAATCGGTGCCGAAGAACCACGTATTCTCAAGCACTTCATACAGCGCCGAAAAGGGCATCACAACCAAACCCACCAAGCAATCAGCTACCGCCAGGCTCGTAATGAAGTAATTTGTAGCCGTGTGTAGATAACGTTCACGTATAACAGCCAAAATTACCAGTGAATTTCCGAATACGGTGGCAAAAGAGAAGAGGAAAAGAAACGATAATAGCGAGATACGATCGTTGGGAAGCAGGCCGAGAAACTCGCCCAGGTGCGGATCGCGGGTGCCATTACTAACATCGTATATGTACGATGTCAGCGAGCCATTGGATGCGATGACTGTAGAGGCGGTGGTTGGAGTGATAACTTCAGTGCCAGTAGTGGTCAACAGCTGCTGTGGCTGCTGTTCGGCGCTATCGAGAAAGCCATTGAAGTAGTCGAAGATATCGTCGGAGATGTTGAAGCTTGTATAGAAGTGAGGTGGCGGTTCGCCTTGAGCTTCCGTGCTGCGATTGTCAGAGCGGGTATTTGATTGCTGATATGAGAATGTTGATGCGGGTTGCTGCGGCGCTGAAGATAGTTGTTGCATGGAAGGCTCCAACTCTGGTGCGACGAGTGAGAATTCGGACAACTCATCTGCCGTATACTGCCAATAGTAAAGCGAGTTATTAACGCCGGTGACGGTATCAGGTGGGGGGGGCACTTCCTCCTCTACTGCTCGAGGCATAGACATTGTTGAAGTTTTTGTTTTTGTAGTTAGTGGTGGCGGTGATGGTGGTGCTGCTATTCGTACTGCCGATGCTACTTGCGACGCTATGACTATTCACATAATTCATTATCGTGACTCCGGCGCATGCGTACGATGCTCAAGCAACGCTTAAGATTACCGTGTGTGGATATGGGTGACAAATTGCTGTACTATCTGCCAGTCGTACATGCTAACATACATACATACACATCACAGTTATTTGCGAGCCTTCACGATCACTTAAGCGACACAGCTGCAACTGCCCTTAGCTTTAGCTGCGGTGAAACATAGACGCAGCGAAGTTCGTCCGTATTTACGTGCACCGTTATTGTTGCGCGTATTATTATTTATTTATTAGTCTGCAAAGCACAAAAAAGAAAAAAAGAAAAAGCAGTGAGCAGTAATGACAAACAGGCTTGCTTTTTATACTAAATATAATCTTGATTTGCTTTATTGCTTAATTAAATCTAATTGTGTGAAATTTAGAATGCATCCTGCTGTGTGACTTCCTGCTGCCTACATTTTCTGTATTATTCTAAAGCCCTTATTCAATCTTTCATTCAGCAGGCACAAACGAGCTGGTAATTAATTAAATTGGTGAAAGGGCAGCAAGCACTCGGCGGATAGCAGGTGGGTGGCATATTGCCTGCACTTATTTTTCGCTGCTTCAAACGTATCTTTATAAAGAAAGGAGTAAACAAACAAATTAAATTACTGCAAACAGGAAATTTTGTACCCTCTGGCTGTTGGCACGTCGCACAGTCAGAAATGGCACAACTAATCTTTTCACCTGATACCTCATCCGGACCCATTTGGTATACCCACCCTCACAACGATTCGATTCGCTGTATGGCCTACTTTTCCACGGCGCTTCAAAGCATTTAAATTGCAAGAATCCAAGTTAGTGCCTGCATTGAGAAATGTGCAAATTAGCAAAGTCGGAAGGAGAAGGACAAATTGTCAACAATAACACCGAGATCGTATTAAACAAAAAAAAAAAAAATTAATGCATGGAGTAATTTTCAGCGCCATTTACCTGCAGTTAATAACTTTTATATTTTCTTTATTAGAATTTTCGTAAATTAAGTACTTATGTTCATATTTTCAGTTGAATATTATTTAAGTTTAAGATAGATAAATTTTTTCAAATTTTTGTTGGCCTGTGTAATATTTGAATTAGTAAAAGTTACCGTAGAAAAAAGCGCCCGACGGATTTTGCCTCTCTTTTTTTGGAAAATGTTCAGTGAGTTCCCCCGATCTAGTAGCAACAGGAATCAGCGAAGGGAAGCAACTTGAGGGTTGAAATTATTTGCAGGGTACCGTGATATGTATGTTGGTTTAGAAGGCTGCAGCTTAAACAGGGCCACTATTTGAAAAGTCGAAATAGACTAAAATATGGACAAGCTATATATCTATGTATATGAAAAAGTTAGTGTCAAACGAAAGGGTGTTAAGCAGTATTTAGCTTGAGCATTTAGAATACAATTTTTGAGACATCTGAGGAAAGTTGCCACCTGCTTTAAAGTTAAATTCAAATTATTAATAAGTTAAATTAATTAATAAAAGATGCGTTTCAGTCGAAACGGGTTTAAAAAGACTTAATTTCTAAATTATAGCTATGGTCACAAATGTAGCACCAAAATTCAAAATGATATTGTTCGCAACTTATGTTTATTATTTTTTTAATAAATTTATCGATGCTTTAATATGGAGTTAATGCAAATTTTCACACGTATGTAAATACATATGTACGCGTCCCTAGGTAATTATGCATTGCTATCTGTTGACATAAGTAATACAAGCCTGCTAAGTTCATTGCATCTGCTAACATGTCAGTTACCCGTTGGTTGGCTTTTCGTTTCCATTTTAGCTAAGGTAAGTGACTCTTAAATGTTCTTTAGTCACGCAGTAACATGACTTAATCCTGCCAGGTTGTTAAGAATAGGGACATTCTCGAAATCTTGCACGTAGGTTGGATTGTATGAACTGCAAAAATACTAAATATTCCAAATTTGAAAGAGTACGAGAGACCCCCATTGCAAAATGGTAGCATGCATAGTTAGCAAGCAAAAAAGAAGTGAGTGAAATGAGAGCAAAGGGAGAAATATGTAGCAATGCCAACAACAAAACAACTAGCACAGGGTCGCATTTAGCGTGCCATGCTTTTTTTTGCAAAATATATACATGGGTTTCGACGTTGCATATTTTTCAGCGATAGGAAATGTTGTTTTCCATGTATTTTGTTGTTGTGTGTTTGCAAGTTATGCAATCCGTGCTACGTGCAACGGTTTTGCAAGATTTCGAGAATACCCCCAAAGTATGTACGTACATTGCACATGTATGCCGGTATGCTTTTGTCGAGTTTTCGAAATGACAATGACAGACTTCTACAGCTGTAATTGTCTGAGCGTACTACACGCAGCACTTTAACCCAGCCTCAGCCAAAATTTGCCTGTCAACTGCTGGCGAACGTGTAAATTTGCAAAATCTTTTTTTCTCTGAAGAACTATAAATTGTTTGTATTGAGGGAAAATCACTCAAGTGGGCCGCCCAAAATTGGACGGTAATTTGAGTAATTTTGAAAAATTCGAAGTTTTGTTAAAAACTTTTTTTGATGAATTCAGTAATTATTTATTAACAACTGATTCGTAGCATATATCTTGCTGTTTTTTTTCATGATAATAGTTAATTAGACGCGCTTTAGCCTGATTGTTTAAATTTTTGAAATAATCATTATTTTGTACACAATTTTTAATTTTTATAAAAAATATATATAAACAAATGGAAATATTTTTATTACTTTTCGATCAGATTTTTTAATCGTTTACATTGAATATCAATCCTTATTCTATAATACATTATTTGAAAGAAAAAAAAACACAGAAACTTGCACGGAGTCGCTAATTATTAATTTTTTTTTTCGCTCCTGCCACGGGTGCTTCTGCTTTCATGCCGCTTGTCGTGCGGCGAGCGTTGTGCAAACAGAGAATGCAAAAAAAATAAAATCTATTTATAAACATAAGCATAGATTATTTAATACAATATTGTTTTTAAAGTTGTATACAAAAATATGTATGTACATAAATAACATGCACATTAATATATGTACGTATGTATGTACATATGCATATATTTTATCTTTACAGAGAAAAATAAATAAAAAGGATAGTATTTATAATCGTTTATGCCGCAGAAACAAAACACAACTAACTAACTAACAACTTTTTATAACTGTACACCTGAACGAAATATAATCCTTGGTGAAAAAATGTATTTGTGGATTATTGTTCAAGGACATATGTACATACATGACAAGATATTTTTTTATTTTCATTTTTATTTTAACATTGATTGATTAAAAGAAAAATACTGATAAAAAAAAATATTTCACACAAACAGGGTTGAATTTTTGAAACTCGTGCCCGTATGCCGTGGAGAACAGATGATGGACACATCTTAGCTTAGACGACTTAAACGAGTTGGATAAAGAATAAGCAATGCATCAAAGAGGCGCTCATTACATAATAAATATACTACATATGTATATGCATTAGGGTGATTCAGATTTTTTTTTTATATGTAGGATCTTTTTTTATAATTATTATATTTAACAATCGATGCGTTCTACCATAAAGGTCTTAAAATATTTTTGCAGAGAATTAAAGGCTCTACAAAAAAGGTCTGAGGTCAATTTTCAAGGAGTCAACTAGCTCAAAAGTTATTCGAGGTCCGAGTTCACCATTCTTTCAAATTTGACCTGAGTTGACTTATCGAAAAACAACTTCAGACCTTTTTTGTAGAATATTCAATTCTCTACAAAAATGCTTCAAAACCTTTATAGTACAACGTATCGTTCGTTAAACATAAAAATCTGAATTTAAAAAAATAAAAACACTTTTCGATTTCCCTTAAGAATAACACAGGAAAAATTGTATTGTCATCTGCACCGCTATCGACAACTGTTTCGATAATAGCCGCTTTCGATTCGCCACTTCTCTGCTCGCTATGTTTGAGCTCTGTTAGCTTGTCAAACAATTTGTATGCGGAAGAAACAACAAAGTTTTCCAGTTGAATTTAACACAGGAGAAAATGGGGGTACGTCAAACGTGGTCTAGTTCTCTAAATGGTATTATCTGTATGCTCTCTATGCAGATATTATAGTTTAGAAGAAGTTTTAGTGTTGTGAATAGTTTATACCAGTTACTCACTTATTTCGTCACTCTCTACGCACTGGCGATTCGAGGACGACTAATTATTAGCCGCTAATTTCATCAATGCCGTTTTTTTTCGTTATATTCTTCAGGCATATTTAAATCTCATCGTTGGCCGCATAGCATCGGTCTTGTACTCGTATTTGAATTAGAGTTCGTATTTATTTATTTTTCTTTTGGAGGACCTTTTACCGTTTTATTGATTTTGTATGCTTTATGATGGCTGATCAAGTTTAAAAATTTTCATTGTAAAAGATATTCTATCGATTTAAATTTCTGATTATATTTGACCAAATTATATCTTCTTAAAACATACAATGCAAAGTTTTAGTCTCACATAAGTAGGTAAACTTGTCTGATATGAACTTGGTCACATTTTTACGAAAAGTAAATGCACCTAAACATATGCTCACCAAAACCAGCAGCATTCGTTCAAATTGAGAAAGAAATTGGAAACAGAGCGCTGATGAAGCGTCATTTGTCATAACCAAAAACTTAGCAACTATGAAAAGTATTGCTTTTGCAATAATTTTTTTCCAGCTTTTGTAAAAGGCATCTGCCCTCTTGTGCGCTCAAACGTCAGTAGTGGGTGAAAAGTAAAAAATAGAAAATGCCACAGTCGGCAACACTCTGTGGACAGCAGCAATAATTTTTGTTCATAGTTGGTTTGCTGATGATGACAAGGATGCACTGCTACACATAGAACTCTCAACCAGCTGAAGAAAAACTGCTGCAAACGAAGCTTAGGCTGGGGATTTGTGCAAAAAGACGAAAATATTAAACGTAGTTTTTTTTTTTTTGACTTGGTAAGTGAAATAAAAAGTTTTCTGTTTCCTAAAATTGTCCACAATAATAAATCATAAAGCTAAAGATAAGTAATAAATAACACTTTAACGCAAACGATGGGCAAAGAAAGCAATTTTGTACGACTGACGAAAAGATCCACGTATATTCCCTTCCAGTACAGAAATAATCGGTAGAGAAGAGTTACAGAAACGAGCTACTGGTATAACGAAGAGTGCTACGCAGCCGCTGCAGGGAAATACTTCTTTCTTTAGCTGGCACACTTGAGCGAGACTGTGAGAAAAGAACAGAGAAGAGACGACTATTAA